TTCTTCTTTTGTTCTTGGTCTGTTCAGGTTTTCTACTTCACTTTGTGTAAGTTTAGGTAGGTCGTGTTTATCTAAAAATGTATCCATCTCTTGTAAATTTTCAAATCATTCTCCATTTTTTGTGTAACCCTAAGAACCTAGTCTTTGAAACCTAACCATGCTATTAAGTGAATATGACCACATTTCTCTATAAAGAAGAGTTTTTGCTGCTACCTCTTTATATATTTTATTTAGTCATGTACATTTTTTAAAAGTAGAAATCCTGGGTTCATCTTCAATGTTAGAATCCATTTGTATCATTGTCCATTCTTGATGCTCATGTTGTCCCACACTTGGCATGTGGTTGGGGATCCCTTCAAGCTGGCTTCTTAGAGGAGAATGGTATTTAGAAACCAAGATTTGGAGGCACTTAATATATTTCAAGGGGCTTCTGGTGTGGTGCTGTAGGATCAGAACTGGACTGCGGACCACAAGTCTGCAGTTCAAACCCACCAGCTGCTCCTAGGAAACACTCTACAGGGTCACTAAGTCAGAACAGACTCGATGGTACTTAACAGCTACAATATATCTCATATTAATAAAATACCACTATTCCTGTTTTCTTGAGTCGCCAGATGTGGCCTTGGCAATGCTCTTCATTCTTTGGGGCCTGATTTTTTTTTTACACGAAAAGCTTTTGGGTTAAACATTTCTTAACCTTTTTTGGTGTCACCAACGTTTGAAAATCTGTTAAACGCTACGATCCCATCTCTCAGAGATATGTTCAAAATATGCAAAAAACGTGACTCCTCAAACCTCTGGATTAAGTGATCTTCAATAACTCTTCAGCCCTGTCATTCTGAGTCTGAGTGACATGCTGCTGTCAGAAGGATTCCTCAGAGACCTCAAAATGTGGAGGGATTTATATAGAAGTAAATGAGGAAAGGGGGAGAAGAAAGGAGTTGTGAAGAAATCACCCAACCACAGCTCTTTGTCCTGCCTAGGGCGCGCAGTACCCAGAGGCGAGGGGTTTCACAGGGCAGGTCCTAGGTGGGCTTACAACACTGGTGCAGAAGATTCGGGTCACATCCAGGTAGTTGTTGCATCCCTTGGCACGGCCTGCAGGGCTCGCTGTTGGCCTTCATCTGGGAGGCCGAGGGCCTGGGCGGGCCGGGCGGCAACTCCGCCCCTGGCAGCGGGTAGGTGGCAGGGAGAGCTCAGGGCACGGAGCCCACAGCCCGGAAGGAACGCACCGGGCAGGCCCGAGCCCCTCTCTAACTCGCCTGCCTCACTCCTGCCCCTCCTGCCGCCTACGCTGGCGGTGCTCCGGTCGCCATGGTGACCAATCGAGGCCCGGTCCCGCCCCCGCCCCCCCTGCCCCGGCCCCCTGACGTCGGCGCACGTCAGCGGCGGCGCGCGCTTGGCTAGGCCCTGCAGAGCGGGAGGGAAGGAGCCACGGAGCGGCTGTCGCTGGAGACGATCCCTGCCGTCCGCCTGCGCTCCTGTCCGCCGGCTCTAGCAGCGGGGCCCAGCATGGTCATGGCGGATGGCCCGAGGCACTTGCTGCGCGGGCCTGTCCGAGTGGGGTTCTATGACATCGAGGGCACGCTGGGCAAGGGCAACTTCGCCGTGGTGAAGCTGGGGCGGCACCGGATCACCAAGACGGAGGTGCGGCCCGGGGCGAGGGGTCGGGAGCGGAGCTGTTTACCAAGAGGTGGTTGCAGTGGCAGGACTTGGGGAGACCGGGAAACGGGGTCACTCGCGGAGGCGAGCGGGCCTGGGACTGCGAGGACACGGGGGGCTCTGGGAGCACCGTTGGGATCAGGGCCGGGTCACTGGGACTCGAGGGTCGTCAGGTTGGAAAGCCGACCACCCAAGGCTTAGCTTTCCCCCGCGCCACCCTGTCCTCGCCCGAGTCTTGCACCCGGGCGGTGACCTGGTCTGTGGCCTCCGCTCCGGAGGAGCCCAAGTTCCGCGTCTTCCCTGCTTTCGGCTGGGGGTGGGGTGGGAGGGGAAGTCTCCAGGCTCCTGGGCTGCGCGGGGACAGACATCGCCCGCCCGAGGACGGGGCCGCCTGCGCTCGCTCGGGCCTCAGACCCCTGCGCCCCTGCCCTGCCCTGTCCAGCAAGGAAGGGATTCTCGCGCCCTGAGGTGCCGCGCCAGCCACTGTCCATCTAGGTTCCCTGCATGTGTGTCTTTCTTGAGTGTGTGTCTTGATTTAGTGCGAGACTCGATCTCATGCCTGATGCATTCCCATCTAATACTCCAGACAATAGAACTGGTTAAAATGGTCACACAATCGGTGTGTGCATCTTTCCTGTCTAGAGTTGTCAGTTTACAAGGTGTGCTAATGGCTGTGAATACATGCTCCTTAAGCCACATCAGATTCTGTCTCTTTACTCTGAACCCTCTCAACTGCTTCCTGAGGGTAGGTAACTCCAGCATCCCCTTTCCTTTGCACATCCTCATGCGCGCACATATTTTTCTCACCAGTCTCTGGTTTTACCTAACCCCCCACCCCACCCCCTTCCATTGCCTCAAGCTGCTCTTCTCCAGATCTCTATTTTAAGATGTGCCAACAACATACCTTAGAAAAAAGGTAGAAACAAAGCCATTCTTTAGAATGAAGCCTTGTGTTTTTTACCTACTCAGCGTTATCGTAGCTTTTACTGGAGTTTTATCCTTTTCTCTATTCAGCCCACCTTAGTTGTAATGGTTATGAGTCGGGCTGCTAATCTCACGGTCAGCAGTTCGAAACTACCAGCCATTCCTCGGGAGAAAGATGAAGTTTTGTGCTCCCTTAAAGATTTATAGCCTCCGAAATCCTATACAGGGTCACTATGAGTCAGAATCAACTCGATGGCCCATAACCACCAGTCTGTGGAATAAAGTTAATGTACGGTCTCTTTGTGGAGGAGTTTTTTTGTTTTTTTTTTAACCCCCAGAACTCTTATGTAAAGTGAAGGACATTTGAATGCTTTAGAGATTTTTGTAGCTGCTGCTTTTCTTTAAAGTTTTGCTTAATGTGTAGGAGTCTGTTTCCAAAATGAAGGGAAATGTGTCATTATATCATCTTCACTTTTTTCTTCTACTGAAGCATCCTAAATCTGACTTTTTAGCATCAAAAGTAAGGCCACAAAATTTCCTCTTCGTAAATTTACCAGTGTTGGCAATCTATTTAGGTCTGTAATGAATCTATAATGTAGTTGTAATGAAATTATTAAATATTTGCATAGCTCAGTTTGATCTCACCATTTTTAAAAAATAAGAAAGAAATTGGTTTCATTCCTATAAAGAACAAATTCCATGTTCATGAATTGCCATTAAGTTGATTCTGATCATTTCCCCTTAAGCTACATAAGGCATTTTAAATGTGCATTTTCATAGGAGCCTTTGCTCACTTTCTGTCAAAACCCACTAAATCAAACCCACTGCCACTGTGTTGATTTCGACTCATAGTGACCCTATCTAAGGTTTTTGAGTCTTTTGATCTTTATGGGAGCAGAAAGCCTCATCTGTCTTACTTAGAATAGCTGGTGGCTTTGAACTGCTGAGTTTGCAAGTAGCAGTCCACTGCTTATCCTACAGCGCCACCAGCACTCCTGGTGGTGATGTGCTAGAGTTGGTTACAACTCATAGCTACCCTGTATAGGGTTTCTGAGGCTGTAAATCCATGTGGGAGCAGAAAACCTCATCTATTGCTGGTAGTTTCGAACTTCTGACCATGAGATTAGCAGCCTGACTTGTAACCACTGTGCTACCAGCTCTTAGTGTAAAAAGATCAAACAAATTGTGCATTGAAGTAGTTTTGCAAAACTAAACTGTTACTTGGTTGACTCTTAAGCCCATCATTTCATAATCATTTTTTCTCACGAACTCCTATCAGTATTGGTAATAAGATTTAATTAGGTCAGCTGTTATTAATGAGGTCAAATTCAGGTACTATTTAGGGACTGCTTGAGAAGTCCTGAACTCAAGAACTGACACTCTTGAGGCTAGCCATTCAAAATGATGTTCCTTTGAAGCATTCACCTTACTGTGCTAAGCGGCAGTGTTGAGTAGTGTCATGTTTTGACTATCAGATATGGTCAGATTAATGCATTTGTAATTCGAAGTACGGGTCAGATCATGGACGTACACACAGATCTTAAATTATATATGTATATGTGCTGTATTTCTAGTCCAGAACTTTGTCTCTTGCCTTTCAAAAGGAGGTACCATGCATTAACATGTCAAAAGAAATAATGAATTTAAGGTAGGTGAATGTGACTTGGTGTGATTGGAGACTTTTAAGTCCCTGTGTGGCACAACTGGTTACACACTGGAGTACTAGCTGAAATGTTGGCAGTTTGAACCCACCCAGAGGCCACTGAGAAAACAAGACTTGGTTACCTGCTTCTGAAATCCTATGGAGTAGCTCCACTTTATGGGTGGCCAGGAGTTTCAATTTCCTTGATGCAACTAACAAGAAGGGAAAGGGTTAAAGAAAATAAGGTAACCAATCAATGAACAAAATTCTATCCATCTCAACTTTCAAAGCTGATGTGTGAATAATTTACATTAAGAATTGTTTAGCAATGGCATAGATAAAATTGTTTCTTAAAGTATACCATTTGTTATTAATGAGTTTTTAAAAGCATTGTTATCTTCATTCACTGGACAAATACTGTGTGCCTTTGATAAATAGAACAACTTCCGCACATACTCAAACGGCAATGGCTAGTGGAAATGTTAAAGTTGTATTTTACATTAGGATCTCATTATGTTGTTGTTGTTAAGTGCCATCGAGTTGGTTCCGACCCATAGCGACCCTGAACAGGGTTTCCGAGGCTGTAAATCTTTACGGGAGCAGAAAGCCTCATCTTTCTCCCGCAGAGCGGCTAGTAGTTTCGAACTTCTGACCCTGTGGTTCACAGCCCGATTTGTAACTACTACGCTACCAGGGCTCCTTAGGATCTCATTATAGTAGATAGTAATTACAGTGAAAACAATTAATATGATGTAAAGAACAGTAGCAGAAAAATATCTTGATATGAAAGTTTCAATATGGTAAATGTTTCCATTTATAAATTTGTGTGTTAAAACTTAGAGGTCTGTTTTCCCAAGTTTGAATCCAAACCAAATTTTAGGCCTTAATCATCTAGTGATGAACAATTTGACCTTTTGGTTTTTAATTGGCTTTTTATCCATCTGCTATACTTTGGAAGATCCACGGCTGTTTGCTTCTTATTGGTCTAACCTATCAAATAGTTTAATATTGTTTAAGAAGTACAATTATTTAATAATCTGAAGCAGTATTCTTTCGTCAGATCTCTTTGTAAATTTTGTACACAAAAATGAAGGCAGATGGTAGTAGAATCCAGCTTCCTAATATAATCCTTAATAAAGCTTTGTAGTATGGGTTTGTGATTTATGAATTGGAGAAGCTAATTTTATGAAATTAGCATAATAGGAAAGTATAATAGCATTTAGGCTGGTAAACTGTTTTAGGCAGTGTTGGTTGTTGGTTTGCTTTTCTTTAAGTGTCTTTGAGTAGTGTTTTGTTTTATTAACACTACACTTGGAAAGTTTTTCCTTTTAGCTAATTGTGTAAGCTACTTGTAGATTTGATAGTGGTTTGTTCTTATGCTCTTAAATTTTTTGTTATCTGATTATTAAAGAAATAACTCTTAGAGAATACAAAATGTTAAGATGAGTAAGTTGTTGTGTGTTGCCAAGTCAGTTCTGACTCATAGCAACTGTATATAGTATTTTCTAAAGTGGGTTTAAACTGCCATTCTTGCAGTTAGTAGTCCATTGCTTATCCCACAACACCACACCAGGGCTCAAAGAAGAGTAGTGCTTTCAAAGAGGTTTGTACTTTATCCTTGCAACAATGAGAATAAGGCATTAACATTAAGACATATTTCTTCAAGTCTTTGATTTCTTTTAAATTATGTTACTTTCCCCACTTACCATTATAACCTAAGCATTTTGCTTAACATCTATAACTTTATAAAACACTTTATAAAAGTGTGGAAGAATTGTATTAGTCAGTTGAATATTAGTTTCCAGTTTTCACTTTTAATAAATGTTGAAGTGAACATTTTTGGATATAGGACTGTATCTTCATTTTTAATTTTTTGAGGGTAGAGGGTAGAGGAGGTAAATTCCTAGAAGGCAATGACTAAATGAAAAAGTATTGTTTTTACAATAAAGAGTAATGTATTTTTAATTACCAAATTTGTTGTATTAATAGCACCTCTGAGATAATAATCACCATTCCTTGCTTTCAGACCTTTTCTGTAATAGGCTATGGTGTTTTCCTCAACATCATACCTCTCATATTGATTCGCTAAGGAGCATGCAAATTTATGGTTCCGGGAATCTTAAAAAATATTTCAGAGATTCTAAAAATTACCTTATTAAAATAGCATGTTGGGCAACTTTACTTGTCCTTAAAAGAACCTGGAATGCAAAACTGAAATCAAGAACTTTCTGAAAACTGCTTTTGTTCACTGAAAAGCATTCTATGCACATTTTGGAGTTTTTACAATTATTATAATTTTTTAGTACCTTAAAGTTTACCAAAGTAGGTATAGTATCAAAATTATATGTTAATAACAAGAGTAGAAAAAGAGAAGGGTATATAATTCTACATCTAGTTGCAATGTTTGAAATGTTTCATG